CCCTCTCAACATATAATGAATGAAATAAGAATTGATAGTTATTGTTCTACCTAAGATAAACATTATTACATATTTGTATGTTTCCTTTCATCATGGTTTTCTATGTGCGTATTTTTTAAAACAATTCACATGACACCAGTGGGTTTTTTGCCTCCCCCATCCCAATTTAACAGGATGTACTGAGTATTTTTATAGCATTAAATTTTTTTGAAACTATAAGCATAATGACTAAATTTTCTTTTTATGTATTTAATATGCTTCATCTAACCATTCTCTTATTTTTTAAAATTAATTAATTAATTTATTTATTTTTGGCCACGTTGGGTCTTCATTGCTGCAGGCAGGCTTTCTCTAGTTGCGGTGAGCAGAGGCTACTCTTCGTTGCGGGCTTCTCATTGCAGTGGCTTCTCTTGTTGCAAAGCATGGGCTCTAGGTGCGTGGGCTTCAGTAGTTGTGGCATGCGGGCTCAGTAGTTGTGGCTCGCGGGCTCTAGAGCACAGGCTCCGTAGTTGTGGCGCAGGGGCTTAGTTGCTCTGCAGCATGTGGGATCTTCCCGGACCAGGGCTCAAACCCTTGTTCCCTGCATTGGCAGGTGGATTCTTAACCATTGTGCCAGCAGGGAAGTCCCCATTCTCTTATTATTATACGTTAAGATTATTTCCAATGTTCCTAACATTTTACGTTTATAATTAGTACCGTAAATTCCAGCCTTGTACATAAACGTGTGTACTCGTCTCTGATTTTCTCCTTAGAAAGGATTCTTAGCTAAAGGATATGATCATTATCATACCTTTAAAAAAAATCATATTATTGAATTAGGCTGCCAAGGGCTAGCCATGTAGAATAGCTCCACTTTCGTTAAACTTTAGGAATGGCAAATACATTCCATTGGAGTATTAGCATCAGTTAGTTAGTAGTGGTGACTTGGTACTCCTTGATGGGAAGGACTGCAAGACCACATCTGGGTCCAGCAGCAGAGAATGGTGAGATAAATTAGTGGTGTTTAACCTCAACGAGGGATTGAAGAATGGAAGCACATGTGCTTTGTTTCTGCCAACCCAGGCTTAGCCACTTCCAGCGTTGAATATATATTCATTAATTTTTGCCAACATGAAATGCAGAAAAAAAAAGTTTCTTGTTTCTGTTATAATGCATATTTCCATAATTATAAATGTGGTTCAATAGTTATTCATATGCTTGGTGTCCATCTGAATTTATTCTTCTCAGAATCGCTTTTCCATTACCCTTTGTCTATATTTTCAGTTGTCTTGCTAATGTAGACTCAAAAAGAATGCTTTTTATACATAAGGATGATAAAATTTTTTCTGCCATTTTCCAGTTTGTCACTGTCCTTTTAATTTGTTTATGATATTTTATGATGATAAGAGTGTTCATTGCTACGTGGTCAAATTAATGTTTCGCTTTGTGATTTCTTCCTTCGTTTACATGATTAAAACCTTCCACACGCTACAGTCTTATAAATGTTCATCTGTGTATTCTTCTGGTTTCTTTATGATTTAATTCATATTTGTCTCTTTAATCCATCAGAAATCTAATCTCCTCCTCCTAAGACATTTCAAAGAGAGACAGACTAAAGAGGGAGATAAAAAAGACTGAGTAAGGAAATATCAAGCGAATTAAAAACAGTGATATTGATAATGATCATGATAATATAGTTGTAGTAAAGCTGAGGTGCCATCCAGACATAGTAAAATTCAAGGTAAATATATTAAATGAATAAAGCTGATTTTATGTTGTTGAAGTTATGAAGTTAGCTTGTTAATGAGTATTTATTCACAGAGAATATAACTTTTACAAACATTTATGCATAAAATTTAATATATCACAAAAATATAAAGCAAACCCCAAAAACATAAGTAAAAAGTGTCAAAAAATGACTGTACCAGATTTTAACATACTTACAGTCTTGAACAGATGGAACAGATTAAAGTGAATGCGGATATGGAGTATTTGAGTAATGTATACAATAAAGTTGATTTATAAGATAGATGAATTTATATCTTACAACCAAAAATGCTTATTTTTTTCCCCAAAATCTAATGGTATGTTTTACTGTATCCTAAGAAGTTTCAATAAGAACAAAAAATGTGCAGTCCTGTTCTCAGACCTCAATGAAATAAACCTGAAAATTAACTTAAAAATAGTTTAACAAGACGTAAAAACACTGAGTTAAAATAATAACATAAAAATAAAATAAAATAAATTTCCCACTTCAATAATTTATGGGCCAAAGAGGCAATAAAAGTCTAATTACATGTTGTTTAGAGAACAATAATGACACTACACATGAGATTGAGCTAAAGTTATACTCAGTGGAAATGATATCTGCAAGAGCTCTATTTAAAAAACAGAATAGGGCTTCCCTGGTGGCGCAGTGGTTGAGTCCGCCTGCCGATGCAGGGGACACGGGTTTGTGCCCCGGTCCGGGAGGATCCCACATGCCGCGGAGCGGCTGGGCCCGTGAGCCATGGCCGCTGAGCCTGCGCGTCCGGAGCCTGTGCTCCGCAACGGGAGAGGCCACAACAGTGAGAGGCCCGTGTACCGCAAAAAACAAACAAACGAACAAAAAATAAGTGAAAACAAATAAAGAAAGGACTCAAGTTTTGGAACTACAAAAAAAATTATTCAAGGTAAAAGCATAAATTAATGTATCAAAAAGCAAAGAGTCCAAGTGTTCTGTAAAAGGCACCACAAAATAGATAAAATGTTTGTGAGAGTAATCAAGAGAAAAAAAAGTCAAATTACCAATATATAACATTGGAAAGAAACTAATACCATACATATGGAGGAGAATATAATAATTGACAATGTATGCTACTTAAATCTTTACGTTGATAAATTTTAAGTCTACATTTAAATTAAGGACAATTTCCTAACAGAATTTAAATTACTAAGACTTTCTTAAGAAGTATAAAAATTTAAATGAACAGATAACCTTGGAAGAGTAATGAAGGAAAATAAAATCACTATTCAAATATAAAGTGATGGTACTAGTTCTAAGTAAGAAGGTGTAAATACATTCCACCCTGTCTAATGACAACTATAAAATCTATAGGGTGCGTGGAGCCACTATTTGAGGACTCAGAAAGTTAACAGTAGCAGGTAGCTTGGGGAAGAAGACCAGAATTTAAAGTACCACTGAACCAGCAGTGAGTTTACCATTTTCTTCCCCTTCTAGGATCCTCTGGGACTCCGTGCAATAGTCTGAAGCCCATAGGTAGGCATAGGTGCAGAAGAGTGGGAAAGAGAGTGTATGTGTTTGTTTTTCCTCTCCCTGTTTTTGTACAATATTTCCCAAATCTCAGGCAATGTCTTGGCAGCAGCAGTGATGGCAGAGGCTGCAAAGCAACAGCAGGACCCAAAACTTGGAGGAAGAAGCTTCCTCTCTTATCAGTGGATTTGTAAACTCAGGAGGATGGGGCAGAACCTCACTGTCCTCCTACCATTTGGCCCAAATGCAAAACATAGTCACAGAAGTAAGCAGGAGAGTGAGGCAACTAAAGTCTCAGGTTTTCGGGGCAAAGGACTGAAAAGGGGAACCCCCAGAAAAGTGGAGTGTAATGGGGGAGATCAGGAGGAACAGATGGCTTTGGAGCTTCTGAGCTGCCCATGCAGGCATCTGAGCTCAGCTGCTGAACTATAAAAGAGAACACCCCCCAGATCCCAGATTGACCGCTGGGGCCTCACACACAGGAAAAATCTTAATAGCATTGCAAAAACTTTGAAATCTGAAATAACACTGGAGCCAGATCCCACAGAAGTGCCAGCTCAAAAAAAAAAAAAATAAATTCTTTCTATAGGACTTAAATAAGACTCAGAATTTCATAACATGATATTCAAAATACTCTGGAAACAATTCAATTTGCCATCCAAAAAAAAAAAGAAATCACAACTTTTATGGGAAAAGACAATGCCAGCTGACAGATATTGGAATTATATCACAAAGCAGCTATCATACAAATGCTTCAACAAGCAATTATAAACTCCCTTGAACAAATGGAAAAATAGAAATGTTCTTCCAACAAATAGAAGATATAAAGAAGAATCAAATTAAAATTTTAGAACTGAAAAATATAATAACTGAAATTTAAAATTTGCTGAATGGGCTCAATAGTGGACTCAAGATGACAGAGAAAGAGGACTATCAATCTAGAATTATATATATTATATATATTATATATATGTACCCATACAATTATATGTGTACACACACACAGACACGAAGTACCAGGTGCTGGATGGGATGCAGAACCACTAGAACTGATACATTTCTATTGTGAATGAGCAATGGTACATGCACCACTCTGAAAAACATTTGTGCAGTTTCTTAAAACATTAAACATACTTTACCATATGATTTAGTAATCCTATCCCTGGGTATTTATTCTAAGTCAATAAAAATTTAACTTCATATAAACACCTGTACACAAACTTAGATGAATTTCAAAGTTCTTTTGCTGAGTGAAAAACGCTAGTCTCAGAAAATTACATACTGTATGATTCCGTTTATATGATTCTTGAAAAGACAAAACTGTAGTGATGGAGAACAGATCAGTGGGTTGCCAGGGATTAGGAGTGAGGGGAGGGTGTAACTGCAAAGGGAGGTTTTTGGAGTGATGGAACTGTTCTGTCGCCTGATCGTGGGTGTGGTTACATGAATCTGTATATGTGTTTGAATTCATGGAACTGTGCACCCACAAAAAGTTAATTTTACTGCATGATAATTTAAAAATAAATTCTATAAAGTAACTATAGTTATAGCTGCCTCCAGATGTCTTTGTATTCCACACACTGGTGGGAGAAAGAAAAGAGAAAGATAAAAAGGATATGCCTTTTAAAAACTTTTATCATCATTATTATTTGTTTTTAGCAGAGCAACCTCAAGAATTACGGTGAAAATCACAAATGGAGTTTGGTTCAAGCCTTGACCTTGGATATAATAGCTAGAAACATAAATGATGCTGTTTTATTTTTTACAGGTTGAAGATGAGGAAAGGTGAACACATTATGCTGCTGCTTCTAAGTGGACGTGAGGGCTGGTCCTGTCAGTGAATCTGAGTCCTTCAATGCGTGTCCTGGAAGAGAGCACCTTTGGAAGGCTGGTTCATAAATTCAAGAACACAGGCAATGTTTTGGGCACACTGTTTTGTGGATGACTGTTTCTGAAGAGGTAAAGGACATGGTCACTGTGGACATAATAGCTCAAAGAGCCTTCTAGAAACTGGGAGTACTTCTCAGTACCACATGAAAAATTCTCAATCCATGTGCCTTTCACCAGTTCAAGATGTTAAGTCCTACAAACTTCAGCTGAGGATAATCCCAATTGTTGTTTGGAAATGTGCTCAAGGAGCTCAGATCTCCTGGCTAAGAATGCCAAAGACTGAGACCAAGCTACTTTTTATGTAAAAGGGGAGGCAAACAGTAGAGGCAATGCTGGGTCAGGAGACAATCAAGACAACCCACACTGAACTTCAGCCACCCAAACACAAGGCAAAGGTGATGGTGTGGTGTGACCTGTGGAAAGCACGTGTCTCGGGACCATTTTTCTTTGAAGTAACGTGTCTGAAAAGATGTATTTTATCATGTAACCAGTTAATGCCAGCATATGACAGGCTAGGGGAAGGGTGCCAGGAGTGGTTCCAACAGGCTGGCACACTCACCACCCATTAAGCCAGAAGGTGAGGGACTGGTTGGATAATTTCCAAAACTGGTTTGGCTGACACGGTTGTGTGAAGGAAGCTGCCAGATCTGAACTCCCTTGATTCCTTCCTCTGGGGTTTGTTAAAGGCTCAGGTTTTGTCCACAGAAATCAGAGACCAAAATTATCTGAGGCAGTGCACTGTACATACAAATGCAGGGATGGACACACATGATGTGTTAATTACCACCTTCACTGCAAGCTTGCGCTGCTAGCAAGGGACAACACGTTAAACACACCATGCATTGAAATGTAATAGCAATAAACCATTTTTATTTCCAGACTTTATGGCTACCTCATATAGCTTTATTTCTTCACCCATAAAAATGGAGTACCCGCTATATTTCAGGATTTATGGCAGGATTAAATGAAATAAGACACATAAAATGATATGTATTTAAAATTTTTTATCTGTATCTAGCGTTATAACATTTTCTTATGTTTACTGCTTTTTAATTGTTTACAGTGTCCACTGCTAAGACTTTTCCATCATGAACTCCACCTTCAGATACTTCTACTTAAAGAAACAATCTGTGCAGGGGAGAATGTCTTTGTTAAATTCACAACTGATAGTCTTATAAAATACAGTCACAAGGTGGCATCTTCCTACTGTCCCTACTGCCTGTCGCTGTGATCCACTAACACTGTGTGATAGATTTTAAAACAAAACAAGACACTATGCCCAACATGCATGGAAACTGAAACTTTTCCTGCCTCTGCTTCCATTTACTGGACTTGATTCTTGACATCTCAGAAGGACCTTTGCCGGCACCACTCTCTTCTTTCTTCCTCACTTCCCCTTCTATCTCTCCCCCCCTACAAATCTGTCCTGTCTTTTTACAGCACCTGCTTTAATGTAGGAAGGTGGTTGCAGTGAAGGGTGGGGTGAAGGTGGGTGTCCTTTACACAAGTCCCATTGGATAGACAGGGACTGAAGTTCAGTTTCTTGTTGATCAGGGTGCAGGTGGTGAGGAAAATATAAGGCGTGCCCCATCCCTTACACCACCAACACACGTTTTGTTTTGTTTTTTTCCACGTAAGTCTTTATGTCATGAGATGAATCCCAGGTAGTTTTTTCTCAGTCTGGCTCCATGTTGTCATTTCAGTACCTTTAGGCTGCTTCTGGAACATTTTTCATGGGATGAAAAATGTAGAAAAGAAGAATTTAATCAAATGTCCACAGCTTCTCAATTACAAACTCCTGCTAGAGTCAACCACTGCTACGTAATTCATCACGGTTATATGTAATACAGCAGGCATCAGGTGAATTTACTATCCCAAACTAAAGATCAGAAAGTCCTTGCAGAAATTGATTTATAACTTTCCTATAGGAACCTCCTCAATTTTAGGGCAGACTAAGCTTCCCAGGGTTTTGTCTCCACTTTGCTTTTTGAACTCAACTGTCTTCCCAATTCAGGTGACTCAATATGGTCTTTATTTGCTCTGTTCACTAAATATTTCTACTTTCTGCTTTCTAGGACTATGGTAGGATTGTACTTCCCAACCTTTGGAATTGGACATGGCCATGCATCTTTTTTTGGACAATGAAATGAAGCAGAAGTGATGTGTGTCACTTTTGGGGGTAGTGAGTAACTCACTATGTATGTCCTCTTTTCTCTGCCATAGCATTTATGAAAGCATATATTGAGAGGAGAGCTTCCATGGCTACAGGTTTGAGTTTATTATACAGGATAAAGTTCAGCTGAATGTAACAGGAAAACTCAAAAGGGGTAGACAGGCAATCTGAGATGACTGTGGTGGTTTTGCTCTGTGAAGTCTGCAGGAACCCAGGCTCGTTCTAGATTACTACTCAGCTGTTGCTATAATGTGACCATTATTCTCATGATCCAAGATGGCTGCTAGAGGTCTGACACCATATTCATGTTCCAGGCAGAAAATGGAATAAGGGAAGAAAGGAGACAACCAACAAAAGAAGCAGCTGTTTTTAAAGAGGTTTTCTCGAAGCTGCCACACAGAACCAGGATTTATATGTCATTACCCAGATTCTAGCATCACGGCCACATTCATCTGTAAGGGAGGCTGGGATATGTAATCTTTATTTTGGGTACCTTTGTGCCCAGCTAAAACTCAAGAGCTCTATTGCTATTCAAGAAGGGGAGACCAGATATGGTAGGTAGGTGACTAGGAGTCTCTGCCACAGTGAGCATATGACCTAAATTAGGACAATAATAATGGCCCATCCCCTTCATCACAGTGCTGGGCTAAGGAATGGGCATATAACCCATGCTTGCTTTAGTGGAGTCTTTCTTTGGGGTCATGGGGGTGGTGGTTTTTCTTGATTTTTTTTTTAACTTGAGCTTAGGGGGAAGAGTCTTTCCTTCTCAGGTCATAAATCCAAAGACAGAAACTTAATCCAACATGCAAAGAGAAGCAGAAGAGAGAGAAAAATGGAAGACTTACGTAGTTCTTGATTTCCTTTTCCAAGGCTTTTTGAGACCAGTCCACCACTACCTTTTGTCCAGTTTAGTTACTGAGCAAAGCAATCCCTTCTTGTTTACAGCAAGGAGAAGTTGGGTGCCTATTGCTTGCAACCAGAAAGTCCTAAAGCAATCGTCTACACCCCTGGGTTTCTTTGGGAGTAGATGAGCAAATACACATAGTAGCTGCACAGTGCCTGGCACATAAAGGTCCTAAAATGTTAGCTCTTAATGATGTATTCGAAATAACACCGAGTAGATGAAATTTGGACAGACTTTCTCTTTTTTTAAAGTCTCAGCTCAAATGAGGTCTTGCTTATTCCCGGGGAAGATCGAGAACTTTCTCTTCTTGCTCTCTCCATCCTTGCAATCGTCCTACTGCTCTGTAATTGTTTGCAAGTCTGTGTTCTCTTCTGATATCCTGTGAACTTCTGGAAGACTGGAACTGAGTCTTATTCAGTTTTAAATCCTCAGTATCTAATATTCTAGCACGGTAGATGGTCAAATAGAAAAATCCTAGAAAAATGAGGATTTGAAGAGTATTTATGGTTAAATGTGGCAATAATAGCAACCAGCATTTGTAGAGTACATGCTATAGTCTAAGCACTAGCCTAAGAACTTTGTTTTTATGATTATATCCTCACAATAACCTTTAATACGCTATTATTATTACTCCATTTTACAGATGAGCAAACTAATGTCAAGGTCATACCACTACTGAATGGCAGAGCCAAGACTTCATTCTGGGCAAACAGACTCCAAGAGCCCTAACATTTCAACCAATATACTGTGAAGGTATTTCATTAAATATAGATGGAATTAAATCATCTAATATTAGAGACAAAGGAAACTCTGAGATCATTGAATTCCATCATGAAACAGATGTGGAAATTGAAGCCAAGAGTTGGAAGTGGTTCAGAGGATTTATACAATTACAGAGGCATATCTACACAGGGCTCCTGACTCCTAGCTAGAATCATTTTTACAAAGTTTACTCCACCTCTTATGCAAAGTTTACTCCTTCTTTGCACTTGCACCATCCCTTTCGGGGTTTTGTTTTGGAAAAACTACCCCCAGGTGGCAACTTGTGTTTCAAAGTAGCTATGTGTCAGGTACCATTCAAAGCCAAGGAAATAGCCCTCTATGGGTCTCACCTGTTGAAACAGACCACCGGGCACATGAAAGAGGACTGGGGAAAAGGGACCCTTGCTCATCATCAGATTTCAGCTCAAACTTTATGTCCTTCGCAAAGGCTTCCCTGGTCTTCTAAGGTCAAATCTATCTGCCTAAGATCTCCTTCATAGCCTTAGCATGGTCAGCTGTAATTATATACGTTATTTGTGAAATATCTGGTTAATGGTCACATCACTTGTTACCGTATAAGTTCCTCGGGGACAAGATCTATGTCAATTTGTGTTCCTCCTTATATTCCAGGTGTCCTGGCACACAACAGGTGCTCAAAACTATTTGTTGAATGAATGAAGGAGTGACCAAGTGGATGAATAAATAAATGCATGAATGCAGCACCATGACAAATCATCCGTATGGGCTGCATAGGGGTAGATGCAACCCCTATATGGTGTGATCTGAGGCGACCCTCAAGAGGACACACTCACACAACCAGAAAGCCCCACCAGGAAAGTCAAATAAACATCCACTTGGTGAGGGCTTTGAGGAACCGGCGAGGGAAAAAGAGACACAAAAGGTGAGCAAGCAATTTTCAAAGGATGCTTTCAACTCCCTGGCCAGTCCGTGTGTGTTTCCTCTACGAAGTGTTTCCAATTACTGTGGCACTCTCGGTATCTGGATCCATCTCCAGTGAATTCCTCTGCAGCTCCTGCCAGACATATGGGATCAATCAGGGCTTCGGCGCTGGTGCGCTTGCTGCGGGAATGTTGACAGCCTGACAGACGCGGGGTTCTGGTGTCATGGAATCTCCGAGAGTCTTTGGCTTGAACTCGGGAGGAGAATGAGAAGGGGGAGGAGAGAGATAGAGGCAGAGATAGAGGAAGGAGAGGGGAGAGGGAGAGACAGAGATAGGAGGGAGAGAAGGAGGGAAGCGGGAGATTTTTCTTGACTGCCCCCTTTCCTTCAAACATTTTATAGGCTTCAGGGAGAGCGAGGAGGAGGAGAGAGGGGAGAGAAAAGACGAGAGCGAGAGGGGTAGCGAGTGCGCGCCGTTCCATCCCTTGTCCCCGGGCGGCCGGAGGAGGTTGGACTGTGTCCCCAGTGTCAGATGAGAGGGCGCTGAGGCTCGCGGCCGCCGTCCCGTGCCCCGAGCCCCGCGCCGCGCACGCCCCTCGGCGAGCCGGGCGGCTGAGCGTCTCTCCGCGCCGGGCCGACGCCTGCGCCCCGGGCGGCCGCTCCGTCTCCAGCGCAATGTGGGCGCGCCTGGCCTTTTGTTGCTGGGGTCTGGCGCTCGTTTCGGGCTGGGCTACCTTTCAGCAGCTGTCCCCGTCGCGCAATTTCAGCTTCCGCCTCTTCCCCGAGGCCGCGCCCGAGACCCCGGGGCGGCTGCCCGCTCCGCCCGGGCCCGGCGAGGACGCGGCGGCGGAGGAGAGCAAAGTGGAGCGGCTGGGCCAGGCTTTCCGGCGACGCGTGCGGCGGCTGCGGGAGCTCAGCGAGCGCCTGGAGCTCGTCTTCCTGGTGGACGAGTCGTCCAGCGTGGGCCAAGCCAACTTCCTCAGCGAGCTCAAGTTCGTCCGTAAGCTGCTGTCTGACTTCCCCGTGGTGCCCACGGCCACGCGCGTGGCCATCGTGACCTTCTCGTCCAAGAACAACGTGGTGCCGCGCGTCGATTACATCTCCTCCCGCCGCGCGCACCAGCACAAGTGCGCGCTGCTCAGCCGCGAGATCCCGGCCATCACCTACCGCGGTGGCGGCACCTACACCAAGGGCGCCTTCCAGCAAGCCGCGGTAAGGTGCCCGCCCCTCCCGGCCCCAGCCCGCGCCCCGGCCCTGCCCACCCACCGCTGCCTCTCCGGCTCGAAGCCGGGCTCAGCCTAGGGCAAGCCACAGCACCCTGAGTCAAGCGTCCCCATCCCCAAAGTCAGAATCATACCTACCCTTCTATTGTTGGTGGGTGGGGTCCCTTGGGATGATGGATTTTAAAGGTTTAGGAAGATGTCAGGCTCCTTATTAAGTGGTCTTTGAGGACCCTCTTAGGAAGAGGTCCTTGAGATGCCCTTCACAATTCACGCTCGTAGGGACAAACTGTGGCCAAACTGGAACAGGTGAGTATGTTTTATGAAGTGTCCCTAAAGGTAAGAGGTGAAGTGACCTGAACATTTCCCCAATTCTCTGGTACGTGATTTTATGCTTCCAATATGAATTTCGTTGCTCTGAGTCCTTTACAAGATTTTTAGCACCTGGAAGAGGAAGTCAGTTTAAGATGCTGGGCTTTTACTTTTCTAAAATTTAACTTTTTCTGATTACAACGTGACACATATTCAGTTGAAGAAAATTTGGAGCATATAGAAATGACAGACACATGATAGCAAGACAATTTTTGTGAAATGAATGAAATCAGAGGAGGAAAAGGGGGTGGGGGAACGAAGCCTCTAATCCCATCACCGTCAAGCCACTGTTTACATGTTGTTGAACATTTGCCCTGTATGCACATCTGCACATACTTTAAACCAAACTGGTGTCTTGCTCTTTTGTAGCCTACCTTTTTCATTTGTTATATCATGAAATGATCTACATCATTATATATGTAATATAATATAGTTATTATACACCTACCTAAGTCGCATACTAGTCTAACGGGTGCATATACTGTGATCTATTTTACCTGTCACCAGTTGTTGGACACTTAGGTTTTTATTGTCATGGTAAACACAAATATTTATGGACCCCTTCTATTACTTCTGTAGGAAGAATTTCTGTAAAGTTGCTGAATTAAAGATACGGACATTTGTAAACTACTTGATACATATTTCCAGTTCTCCCTTGGAGGCTTGTATAGATTTACATTCCCACCAGCAGAGTTATCACAGCAGTAAGTTTGCCACATGGTCACCAATAACATGTGCTCATATTTTTAATGTCTTTGCCAATTTGGTAGGTGAATGGAGGTATCATTTTAGCAAATTCAATTGTTTTAGTTTTACTGGGGAATGAACATTTTCTGATACATTTACTGGG